CTTACAAACAAACCTTTAATCATCACATTGCCCTTTTGGGGTGCATGTTCTTCCTCTGAGCTGGTGTCATTTTTAAACCTGATTTCACCTAAATAAAATCATTCCCTTAGGATAGCCTTGATGAGTAGCCAACAACTTCAAACAGGAAATGAATGAAAAGAAGAAATGCTGTAACGCTGTCCTTAATAATAATGCTATTTTAAATGACCACCATGGTTCAAGTTTTCTAGAACACAGAATGCATGGCAAGGCTTGATTGATGATGCTTTATTGGGAAATGCAATCTCAGGATAGCAAAAACGAGAGAAAAGAAGAAGTACCTTCACATAGTGCATTTAATAAGCTCAACAGAAATAAAGCAAGTTATTGATCTAATGAAAAATTGAGAAGCTGCTTTTAAATGCCATTTCTGGATGGCCTTAGTGTTTACATGATAAATAAGTGACTGCATGTGCTCAGGAGGGTGAACGGCTGGCTTGGGTTTATGTCGTTGAGAAGCAGCAGAGCAGGATTCAAAACCAGGCTTAACTCCTGAGCTGATGGGCTTCCACATTCCTGCAGATTGGCAGCACAGGACTTTTAGAGGAATATCTGGCACCAGGATTATTAATCTGGGGTTGGAGGAAGAGAAAATAGATGCCTGGGAGAGCCTGGTAGTCAGTCTAAAAACAGTCTAGCAAATCAAATCCAATAATGCGTGAAAAGAATTACATACTCTGACCAAGTGGGGTTTATTCCACAAATGCAAGGCTGGTTCAACACTTGAAAAATCAATTCATGTAATCCATTGTCTCAATAGGCTAAAGAGAAAAATCAAATGATCATAACAGGTGCAGAAAAAGCATTTGCAAAAATCTAATACACATTTGTGATTTAAAAAACTCTTAGAAAAATATAAATAGAAGGTGAACTTCCTCAACTTGATAAAGAACATAAAAAAAAACTTGATAAAAACCTACAGCAAACATCATATTTAATGGCAACAAACTAGAAGAAGTCCCTCTAAGATTAGGAAGAAAGCAAGGATGACCCACTCACTGCTTCTTTAACATTGTACTGGAAGTCCCAGCTAAGGCATTAAGACACAAAATGAAATGAACTGTATAAAGATTGGAAAAGAAGAAATAAAAATTGTTGCTTGCAGGTGACTTGATTGTCCAGGTAGAAAATCCAAAAGAACTAACAAAGAAACTCCTGGAACTAGTGAGCAACTATAGCAAGATTGTAGGATACAAAGTTAATATATAAAAGTCAGTTGCTTTGACCTGAGCCAGCAATGGACACATGGAATTTGAAATTAAAAACAAAATACCATTTACATTAGTGGCTGGCCCATCCTTCAAATAAAATGCAAAAAAAAAAATAACAACCAAAAATGGATCATTGACCTAACTGTAAAATGCAAAATTGTAAAATGCAAAACTATAAAATTCCTAGAAAATAATGTTAATAAGAGAAAATCTGAATGATCTTGGGTTTGATCATGACTTTTTTGATGTGACACCAAAGACATGATTCGTCAAAATCTAGTTAAGTTCAATTTTTCTGTTCACCTAAAACTGCTCTAAAAATTAAAGTCTGCTTTTAAAATAACGTAATAGGCAGTGTGTTGGTGGGAATGAGATTTAAAAAAAAAAAAAAGAGTAGCAGACATTTAGAAAGAGCAGTGGACAGGGAGCACGGAGAACCACTTCTAAACCGTGCTCTGCAGCTAATCAGCTGTACCTTGGGAAACAGCAACCCCCGGGCTCCACTTGCTCCTAGAAACAAAGAAAGCAGGTGGAACAGATAGTGTCTCTGGTCCCTCTGCGCCTCCTGCTTGCTCAGTTTGGGACTAAGCACGCGAGGCTACTCTTCCGAAGTCACATAGGTGGGGACATTTCCGAGGAGCTAGACAGGTTCTCTTGCCCCAAATTATCGCTTTCTCTACCTGATGTTATTAGATGTTCACTTTTCTGTGATATAAAGTCCATCTCCTGGCACATACCAAAATAAGGGATTAATCCTAGCCCCGACCCTGCTCCCTGGAATGCTTATTCTTCGGAACTATTAGATCTTTTTTTTTAAAATATATATTTTATTGAGTTTTTACAGAGAGGAAAGGAGAGAGATAGAGAGTTAGAAACATCGATGAGAGAGAAACATCAACCAGCTGCCTCCTGCACATCCCCCACTG